AGTAGTAAGCACTAATATTAATTCTCAAGTAGTAACCACTGATTTTATATCCCCAGTAGTAAGGAGCACTAATAGAAATATTTTAGGACTTCGTAGTTTTTTGTGTGGAGGGGGGGGGAGCGGGGAAATAAAGACGGGAAAATGAGAAAAAATTGACACCCGGGGAATTGCCAATAACTTGCGACTAAGGGACTTACCATTAATAGTCCTACTTCTCAGGCTTCATTGCATAACCTCAACCTACAGTACCGTACGTACCGTCCGGTACTAGGAGTAGGTCTTCGATGACTTTTCTCGTAGCCACATTGCATTTGCACTTTGCACCTTGTGCTGTACGGTACGGTACCTTGTGTACGTACTTGAAAGGTGTATGGTCGAGGCGGGTTCCCGTTCTCATCGGAAACAAGAAGAAAGCAAACATAATCGACCAGTTGCTGGATTTTAGCATGTAATCACGCGCGCTAGATTACAAAAAGAATACATGTAATCGTGGGTATTAAAGCCTAATTATTTTTTACTTAAATCCCGCACCTTGATGGATTACAAACCTGCAAAACGGAGTACTACATGTAATCCAAAATTGTATTCAGTGCTCTCCTATGACAGAGCCTTATTTTTTACTGGATAATGCTAGTAGTCGGGCTGCACCTGAATACAACTCCGAAATCAAAAATTCAGTTGGTGAGTACATAATGTGGAGTACTTTTTTCAGGTCACAAACATACTTTAAGTAATTTTTGCTTTTCAAGTGTGATTACATGCTAAAAATCCAACCAACTGGTCAATTACATAAATAATTGGCGTGCTGCTGAGTACCAGTCCTTAAGTAATCTAACTTCAGCCTCGGACGCAAGCTCCGTTCTTGTCCTCATCCTCTTCAGTTAGATTACTTTGTGTAATCAATTATGTGCTCATCTGTAATCTGAAAAACCTTCCTTAAGGAGAAAATTATGTGCAGTCTTGCGCTGTCACGCTTGACCACAAATAATTTTCTCTACAAGGAAGGTTTTTCAGAGTACAGATCAGAATACATATGGATTACACGTATGCTGCCAGCAGGTCACCAATTATATAACATACTTGTACGTAGGGTAAAGTACAGAACAGTACCATGCGGTTCAGGGGTCATAAATTTAAAGGGGTGCAAAACACCACCAGTTTTCATAGCACTTTTTGAGGAATCACCATATTCCATCTGTGGCAGGAAAAAGAACGTTTTGACTCCAGGAACCAGC